TTTTCACGGAAAATATATTAAAAAATTGTCCGTAGAATATGTTTATAGATGTTGATTTTTCTAGATAAATAATTCTGTTGAGATTTTTTTCTATAATAATTTTTGAACATGAATTTGTTAATCTCTTTCCTGAATTTTACGACGAGAAACAAATTCTAAAGACAGATGAGAAAACGACGGAGTTTAGGCCCAAGAATTCCTATAGAAAAATAAAAATCTATAGACGTTTTTCGATCAACTATCTCTCAATTATATCAAATGGTAAATCTACATAATTTTCTATGGAAATGAGACAAAAAACAGACAGGATTTCATTGTAGAATTCTGATAGAACTTCAAGAGAATTTTCATAGAGTTCCAGTAGAAATTCAATAGAATTTTTCCGAGAAAGTGCTGGATTTTTCTATGAAATTGTTTCATAGATGTACAAATCAATGAATTAATCATTCTACAATCCCTAGATAATTAGTCCACATTAAACATCCCAAAAGAATATGAAAATATTTCAATTTTTTATTAAAAGAGGAAGACAAAGAGCAATTGAGTAAAAGAGGGATTGACTGAGTCTAACGAATATGGATCATCCATTCAAAATAGAAATTAAAGAGATTTCTTAGAGGGTGGCTTGATGAAGTTCAAGCATTGAGGTGCTGGGACTTTCAAAAGTTTGAATCGTTTGGGTTAAGGAGCGGCGGAAATTTCGTTTTGAATTTGAATATTAGATGTAGGAAGATCATTGGTCTGATGAAATTTGTTGAACGATTCGAGCTGAACTCGTCTCATATGAGTTCTCTTCATACTGGGCAGTGATGGAATCATGGAGTGGTCCAATGTGGATGGAGCAGTTGAAGTGGTAGTTCTCGATTTGTTGGACTTGGGTGGAAAGAGTCGTGGAATGGGCGATAATTCATTGGAGGGATGAGCTTGTGAAAACGATTCAAAGTCACCTCGTGCTGCATAACAACCTGATGTGACAGTGGCGGGAGCCGCAGATTTTCTCGTCAATACAGCAGGAGTCACGAATTTCTCACATGATTTCACACAATCTGGTGGATTTGGTGAAATACAGGAGCTCCTAGTGTGTGCTGCATCAATTGGTTCCTGACAATCATGGATCAACTTGTCATCACTTTCCAAGTACGAGTTATGGTCTCCAACTTCGTCTTCTCCTCCGAGTAAATCCTCATCATCACTCTCTTTAACATCCAATTCATCCATGTCAATTATTTTCATTTTCGGAGACCTCTTCTGGATGATGTGATTAACACTCTTCAAAAAAAAAAAACTGTTCGAAATCAAGTTCACATCCAGCTCATCCCATTTTTTTCTTGATTTCCTGAATTTGAGTGAGAGCCCGTGGTGCCGCGACCTTGACACTGATCCCTTTGGCCATGGATCGATGATCCCTGTGAGAGGTCTCGATGATGTCCAAAAGTTCCATCATGAAAGTCCAAGGAGGAGGTCTTTTACTTAAACGATGGCGAAGTCTTGCATGGTAGGACTCAATAATGTTGTTGGTCCTGTGTATCGAGCGTTAAATAGAGAACTCATCTTGCCTGTGGGACTCTATCCAGGTTTGCTCCATGTACGCAATGAAAGGCTGAAAAATCTTAGAATATTTTTCGTTCATTTTGGCGACGATTTCCTTGAAGGCTGCGCGTATTCGAGGAACTGAGAGTAGAGCCAGCATCATGAATTGTCTTAAGATCAACCTCCCCTCTTCATCCTCTTTGATCTTCTTCCAGATTTTCAGTTCTCCAGCTCTTTTCTAAAGAGCCTAATATATAATAACATAGCACGATGAAAAAATTTAGTAGAACACATATGAAAAAATCCTATAGGATTTCCTACAGGTAATCCCATAGGAAATGCTGTGGAAAATTCGAACATGTCTTGTAGGATTTTCCTGACAGGATTTCCCATAGGATTTCCTAAAGGATTTTCCATAGGATATCATATACGAAATTCTATATGATTTTATCATACGTGAAAAATCTAGAGTTTTTTCGAAAGAAATTCTATTGAGTTTCTATTGAAGCACTATAAGAATTCTGTTCGAGTTCAATTAAAATTCTATTGAAAATTTCTGTTGGTTTTTTGCGTCAATTCTATTGAAAATTATACAACTGATAGATATTTGATATTTTCTGATAGATATTTGTTTATAGACAAATAGTCATAAATATTCATTTTTTATGTAACTTATTTATTTATTTATTTTTAGTCCATTTATTTTTGTCGTATCAATAATGAGGTCAATAGCGACTAGTGTAACTTTTTATGTTGGGATTATTTCTATAATTATTTTCAGGCCTGAATATTCCAATTTTTTTCTTGAATTTTATTATGCGAGAGAAATATAAATACCATGGGGAAAATGTTGCTATAGAATTCTAATAGAATCTCAACTGTATTATTACAGATTTCAAGCAGAGTTTCTTGAAGAAAACGCTAGGTTTTCCCATAAATTTTGTTCATGCGTCAGATGAGGCTGATGAATACACCATTCAAGAATATTATAGTGAGATTGATCAATTCAAATGGCAAATGTAAAGCTAAATGGATTTTCCTGAGGAGATTCGAATGCTTCGCAGGTTTGCAAGTAGGATTGGCTTCGTGAAATTGATTGATCTCATTCTATCATTTGACATAACTCAGTTGAATTTCATTTGATGAATGAATCATCATTGAAAACCATAAAAAAACTTCATAGAAACTAGCGAGTTATCATTAGTTCATCAACCTAGTGATTTAACTGAAAAATTCCGTTGGATATTTATTGAACTTCTATTTTTTCTATTAGATGAACTCTAGTTTTGACTTTTTAACGCGTTATTTATTCAATAAATTGATTAATTCACCAATCAATTTATCAATTGACTGCTTGATTAACTTCCCGATCCGAAGAGAAGAAGTTATTATAATGACCGCGGAAATCGAATGTGAAATTTCCATGATGTTTCATTTATTCCTTCATTCCCTGAATAATTCGATGAGCATGTGTGAGGTTTTCATGGAAAATGCTGAATATCTCATTTTATAGAATTGTAAATATTCTCACCACTTTGATAGAATGGTTAAATCAATCCCAAAAATATTATTCAATTGATCAATGAATTTTTTCAGAATCTTGTTTCTCATTCCTGACAAATGAAAATTACTTTATCTCGTAATTTTTTCCTTTAGATAGCTTGAAGATTTGACATTTCAATACTTAATGAATCGAATTATTCACGAATATATAAATTAATTAATTGATTCATCATTTGAATGTTTAATTCATTCATTCATTAATTCATTCATTCATTCCTATTCCATTCAATTTCATTTCCTAAATAATTTAATTAATAGGAAATTTCAATTGAGAATATGAAATATTTTGTTGTCGAATTAAAAATATTTGTGTTCACGAAAATGAAGAGATAAATCAATCGTCAAATTGGTTCAATTCGGAATCTTATTGATTTTCCTATGAGCAATTATTTTGATTGAAGATGTATGTTTATAGAAAAACAAACAACCCAGTCGCGCAGTCTTCAATAAAATCAACGAAATTAATAGAATTACCAATAAAAGTTCAATAGAGATGTAACCGAAATTTCTCAGAAATTCTCTAGGTTTATCTATAAACTTTTTTTGCGTGTTGACTCACTTGGCAGAAGTGAAAGAGACATGCGATGAGGATCGCTAATGGCAAAAATCTCCTGAGCGAGTGCTTGGAGCAAATTCAAAATCTGTCATAATAGATCCGCTGTAGGACCCAAAATCTGCAAATATCTTAGCAAAGACTGCATCATAAGCTTGTTCAGTTTTTCTGCTTATAATAATCCACGCGATCTTACAGGGCTGTGGGAAGATTTCAATACGAGTGAATTTACTATTAGATGAGAGTAAGAAAAAATACACGTACGAGAAAATTTAATATAAAATCGAGATACGCGGCAGCGTCTCGGCCAAGTACACGTTTTATACGACTCAAACCGAGAGCTACCAAGTATCTATACCCTTCCACTACTTCCAATCCATTTTTTTATTAATAAATTTACGCGATTATTTAGATGAAAACTGGTCTTAGTTACATCCTATAAATCGCATATCAGCTTTCCACTGATGCAATTATCGGTTTAATTAGTTGAATATTAACGAAGATATGCACATAGCAACGAGCTATCATGCACATTTCTCGCGTTTCGATTATCTCCAATAACTAACGGGTTACACTTGAGCCACTGACTTGGCAGCGCGACTCGAATTCTCATTTTTCGCGTTCAGCGATTGCCAACAATGTAGTGTAATACACGGCACGTGCAATATTCGTTGAATTATACTATATCTCGATCATGTGATATCGTGATTGGCCATTGGCTAGTTAATATGGCGGTGATCTAGGGACCCTACGCAACACTATACATTAATCTCGTGCAGTGAAGTGTTGGCATAGACATAGTATAGTACCTAGACAGCGCATGTGAGAGGCAAGCTGTCTACGTTTAGCCAGAGAGAGAAACAAAACCGGTCCCAACCTATCCTTGTTCAGCACCACCTCCACAGTAATGTTAGAGAGAGAAAGGTTGGGACCAGATCCTTGTCTAAACTGGCAAGTCCTGTGTTACACAGGAGATATGGGAATACGCAGTCTACGTATAATATATCTATGAGTGTTGGTGAACGCGTCCTCCCTCTTTCGTTCAACCACTGAACTATAGGGAGGATACTGGAACGGCCTCCCACCATCTACTCCCATAATGAGAAGACCGAGCCGAGAGAGAGGTCCCAAGTAGTCGCTCCATCCTTTTCCCGCTTGTATAGAGGTATATATTTCGCTTCGTTCCGGTGGGTGTGGCTAAATTTGAATCAACCAATCCGATGCCGATCAAGTACCAATCACATAGTAAAAGAGAAGGATAGAGCGACTACTTGGGACTTCTCTCTCGGCACGGTTTCTGACCCCCAGAGGCCGTTCCAGTATACCTATAGTTCAGTGCTTTCAACCCATCAACATGGCCGACAACGACGCCAACAACCTAGCTCCGGCATTTGCCCAGGATGACGACGATCTGGTAAGTTTCTAAATATTAATTAATGTATTAAATTATCCGCGTTAATATTGGCAGCAGATTCGGTCATCTGCTTTGTTTATTGGACATGTTTTTAGGGGGGGAATTCACTTTGTGTTCGACCATGATTTTTGAGGTTTGTTTGTTAGAATGTGAGAGGGAAAATTGCGTGAATTATTTCCGAAAAATCGTAAAACAATAAAATATTGGTCTTAAATTGATAAAATAAAATAACTGTGGGGATTAATAATTCAACAGTGAAGTTCAGTGTGAAATCGTGTATCAGGATGAGTTGATTCGATTGGAAATTAGTTTTTGATGAATAATCTCTGAATCGACACGAGATGGTGAAATTTTTGTTAAGATATTTTTTGTAGATCTCATTTCATTCTACAAAAAATGCCTTATAAAAAATTACGCCATCTCGTCCATATTCTGAGATATTCTCCAAAAACTGATCTCTAATCACCATCAACTCATCCTGTTTGTCCAGCTAGATAGTAAACATAACCAAGCTTCCAAGACTTCTGCTAACAAAATCATTAAGGCCCGGTTGGAGGGATTTTTTTCCCGAGTGGCGATTTTACGCCCCCCCAGTTTGCGGTCAAAGCAAGAAGCTTTATCCCGACCATAGCTATGTCGGTAACTGCGGGAATGGCAGGAAACCAGGGTGACATATAAAAGTGGGGCTTGGAAGGGGCCCCGCAGTTTTTGTTTCTTATTTTGTTCGTGTTTATTTTTTCCGGTAGATCTTCTCATGTTTCCTATGAAGTTTTCGAGAAATATTTCCGATTTTCGAGAGAATTCTGCGGTTTCTGCGAAAATTCCTGAAAATTCTCCAGTTTTCGAAAAAATTACAAGGATATTTAGAGTTTTCAAATAAAATTCGAGGAAATTCTAGGGTGTCTGAGTACGTTCGAAGAAATTCTTCAGTTTCCTAGAAAATTCCAGAAAAAACTTGGATTTTCGAGACAGTTGTAGATAATTCTTAGGTTTTCGAGAAAATTCTAGGAAAATTCTCCGGTTTTTGAAAAAACTAGTGGGGGCGGGGTAATATGGAGAACGGAAATAAAATGGCCACTCAAAAATTGGCGAAAAAAATTTTTTTTTTCAAAATTCAAAATTTAAAAAATTGATTCATTGGGCATTATGGACCCCTGATAAATCTGTATGGACGGGACTAAAATGAACACTCAAAACATTTTCAATAATTGATTTTTAAAAATTGCTTGTTGGCAAAGTCCACAACTTAGAAATTATTCAAGAGTGGGGTAAAATAGACATCCGAAAAATTTGGTCCTATTCCAAAATAAAGAAAATTTTTAAAGGACATTTTCCAACAGAATCGTGTCGGTATCTTTGTATAAAGAAAAATTAGTTGGGAAAGATATTAACAAACAAACTTCGACTTTATTAAATTTTCCATTGAAGTTTGAAATATAAAGTAGCTTTGAATTTCCTGTTTTACTCTTGAAATAACTTTGAAATTATTAATTTTTTTTCAATGATCAATTGCACGCCCTACACATCTGACCTTTTGTTCATTTGCGAAATTTGTAAGATGGCTACTTTTCTACTCACAGAGGAAATCACCATAAAACAATAGGCGGGGAGGAGGATGAATGAGCAAGAACAAATTTGATTTACCACCCCCCACGACGAACGTCAAAAATAATTTTTTTTTTCAATTTGAAAAATTAAAATTGTTGAAACAAAAAATTGAAGAAGAAATCGAGGTGTCTATTTTACCCTGTTTTTTTCTTATTACGACACAGCTTCATGAGAATGTGTTAGTTTTTATGATCTTCAAATGAAGTCGGAAGAGTAGATTTGATCAAATTCAACTCATTATTTAAATCTGGTGAAAATATTGCCCTACCCTCCCCTGTAACAATATCTCGAATTTTCAAGAAAAAAAATCGAGGAAATTCTAAGGTGTTTGAGTACGTTCTAGAAAATTCTTAGGTTTTCGAGAAAATTATAGGAAAATTCTCCGGTTTTCGAGAAAATTATAGGGATATCCTTAGCGGACCAAGTTGATAGTTGAACTCTCCATAATTTCCTGTGTTTGAGAGAAAATTGAGAGTCGGAGTGACGAGGCCAAAAATATATTTTATGCAAACCGATCTCTTTACTATCGACTTTTTTTAACCTGTCAGTAGGCGCGCGGTTCCACCACCGTTCTTGAGACGCGCGATTAGGGAATCGCTCATCGGCTTCTCGTATTAATAGAGCCAAATAGCGCCATAGGCGGTGCTGTTCGGCGTTCTGCGGCACGAGCCCCATACCCGTAACACGTGGAAAATTTCGACCGTGCTGAAGAAAATATTATTTTTCTACTCAACCCTGATCAATAGACGACTTTTATCACCACGAGAGTTAACTAGAAGAGTTACTTGAGGCATAAAAAAAATTTCAGCAAAAGATATGCGCTTTTAGGGTATATTTCCTACGGAGTGAAAATTGTTGTGAGGTAATCGCTCATAGCGCGCCTAGTGACGGGTTAAAACAGACAATTGGATTTGTTATTTTTAGTGATTTCTTCAATTTCAATCAACTTTTTTCAGAATTGAACATTTGATTTTGGAATTTTGATTCTTGACTATCTCTGAATCTATTCTCGATTTTTTTAATAGTTGACAGTTGCATTTTTTATTCTCTATTGTCTTTCAATCGACTCAATTTTTTTGAAAATTAAGAGTTGGATTTTTGATTCTCAATTGTCTCACAATCTACTCTCACCTTTTTTGGGAATTGAAAGTTGAATTTTATTATTCATGAAAAAAAGATATTTTATTCTTAATTCTCTCTCAATCTACTTGAAAATTTTTGTAAAAGTTGAGTTAGATTTTTTGCTTCCAAATGGAAGCCCTGATGTATTCGTCAAATCTGAAATTTTCATTTTTTGTGCCAGGGTGAGTAATTTTGGTCTTAGGAGTTCGAATATCATGCAGTTTTTAGATCATGTCCGTATATATGTATGTATGTACGTATTTGAGTTTTTTTNAGTTGGATTTTTGATTCTCAATTGTCTCACAATCTACTCTCACCTTTTTTGGGAATTGAAAGTTGAATTTTATTATTCATGAAAAAAAGATATTTTATTCTTAATTCTCTCTCAATCTACTTGAAAATTTTTGTAAAAGTTGAGTTAGATTTTTTGCTTCCAAATGGAAGCCCTGATGTATTCGTCAAATCTGAAATTTTCATTTTTTATGCCAGGGTAAGGAATTTTGGTCTTAGGAGTTCGAATATCATGCAGTTTTTAGATCATGTCCGTATATATGTATGTATGTACGTATTTGAGTTTTTTT